GGCAGTGGATGATCAGTCTCATATCCTTTTTTGCTCTAATAATTTAGTTATACCTACCAGGCCTTGCAGACTTCCTCAGCAGGACTTCCTCAGCAGGATTGCTCTAAAAATCCAATGAGATAGCAGGTTTAAGGTTGTAAGGACATGGAAGGTATCTGGAAAGTAGTGGCAACTGTTAGTTCCAGGTTGCTGCAGATCATCATTTGCTTCTTTTCTTGGGTTCTCTACCCCCATGCAAGCAAAGGCCTAACTTATTTATTTTTATCAGCAATGCCTCCTTTCATTGCACTGAATAAGTAAGTTGCAATCTACTCCTCTAGTTGTTAGGTTTCCAGCAAAACTAGTTGTACCTCTGAATGTGATATGTAAAGAAGATTCACCTTCAAGGACAGTTCAAAGTGAGACTTGATCCTGGAACCCAGTGTTATCATCACAGGCAAGGAGCTGGCACATGAAAGTGATTTGTCAAAAGAAGTGCTTCAGTGTCATTGGCATAAAAAGATGCTCAAAGAAATATGTTGGTTCTCTTAGTGAAAATGTGGAAGGAACATGGAAAAAAATGAAAAATCCAAGTATTTCAGAGTTAACATATTCTCCCTTTGTGTCTTTATTTTTTTTTGACACACAGATATTTATTCATATTACAAAAGTTTGCATACTCAAAAACACATGGGGCTGCTGTACAGGCACATACATATTCAAAGGCACTTAAATATACAAACTTGCTATTACACATACACAAGCATGAACACTGTAATCATCAGAATATACTAGGCTTGACTACTGCAGCATAGTACTCATACTATATAATACTTTATGTTATAAATAAAAATACAGCAATATCTATTTCATGCAACATTGCCTTGGGATTCTAAGGAATTTGAAATGAACTCCCAAAACACCTTCAGATTAAATCTGATTCAAATATATTGTACAGAAAATATATTTTGTACTTGTCTGCCTCAGTTACAAAACAGACTATCACAATTTTATATATTTCATCACTCATTACAATCATTAGAATAGTTAGACATTAAGATTTGTTCCCTTTGTGTCTTTAAAATACAATCTTGATAACTTCTTTTTTTCCTGATGTGTTTCACAGAGAACTATGAGAATGTGTGAGTATATAGAAGGTCATAAAGAAATGCTCTCATGAAAGAGGAAAATACAGGTTTAATATGTTTTGAAAAGAAATATGTCCTGTGCTATCTCACATTCCATGCTGGAAGGTAAGTGGTTCTTTCTGCTCTTTGTAGGAAAAAGCTTTGCAATTAATCCTCTTCATTAGCATTGGAAACAATTATTTTATGTGAGAAAGAAGTAAATATGGTGCTTTATGTTTGGGTGCTGGAATTATATATTTATCCTTCTAGCACTATTGATCTCCTCAGCAGAGTTGGGGGAGAGAGAAAGAGAGAGAGAGAGAGAGAGACTTTAGAACAATAAAGTCACAAATACTTCCATTGCTACCACAGTTCCTCTTTCTTGATTTTCTTCCAGTACCACTGAAAAACACTAGCTTTCATCAGACCTAGAAAGACTTGAGGTTGTGTACTGACTTCAAAAATCACTCAATAAAAATATAATCATTTTACAGTATTTTAGGAGAACTAAAATTGACTCTCTCTCTCTCTCTCTCTCTCTCTCTCTCTCTCTCTCTCTCTCCTTGAAAATTACTTTTTACTGGTAAACAGGTGGACTGTGTTATTCTGAGGAAGAGGTCTCAGAGAAGCCGCTGGCACTTCTTATGACAAATCACCAGCTCCTTTGGAGAAGAAGGTTGGTTCTTTGTGTGCTCAACCCGAGGCACTCTGTGGCAAGCTGTCCATGTCTATCTAGCTCTGGCTTGCTTTCTTGTCCGTAGAGGGAGAGGAGAATTTTTATTGCTTCCAACAGCTTTGTGATGTTGAGAGGCCTTAACAGTTCACACAGATCCCAGAAGGATGAGGGCTAGACCCTGGAATTCTTTCTGGCTCCTGAAGAATAAATAAGATAATTAATTTTTTTAAGGAAGAGGATCATGTACAAAAGAAGGTTTCTGACCTCAGAATGAGGCAGGGGAAGAAGGAGGAAAACAGATGTTTGAGTAATAGCAAAGACAACCAGGAGGTTATTATGCTGTCAGTGATGTAATGCTGAACTGAAACTCTTAAACAGAGATTGTAGTTGCCCTTTACCATGGGAAGGAAGAACGTTCCCATGAAGGTGTAGGTGCCTGACACCCAGACAGTAAGGCACAGTTAAAGTTGTGTTTCCTTCAGTGTGTGTATGGATCTCTGGTACAGTGTGTGCCTTCACTCCTGGATAATGATTCCTCTGGGTATAGAGACTGAGAAAGTTTAGAAATGATTCTCAGGAAGAGCCAATGCCCCGGGGCCAGCAAGGGAGTGGTGATAAAGCTTGGGCAATAGTTTACAGCTTTTGAAGACTCTGGTTTAGACTGCATTCCTTGGGATAAGTCTTCCCTTTGATGAGACCTTAGATCTTTATCTAATCTGTAGCTTTCTTCTGAGAAACCAGACTGCCCAAGAGATTATACATTTTACTCAACACTGGCTCTGTGGTGAGAAATGGCAGATGCTATGAAATTTTAAAAACCACTTGCATAAATCCTATTGCTATTTTGTTTTAAATCCTCTGGTGGCTCTCTGTTTCTCATGTTTTTAGCTTCATCTTTTATCACTCTTCCCCTACTATCATGCTCTTGTTTCTCCATCAGTTTCTAGATTACTACGTGCCTTGTCTTATTGCAGGGATTTGGCACAATTTTCCCCTCTCTTTGAAAAGCTCTTGCCTATGACCCTTAAAGCCTGACCCCTATTCATTATTCAGGCCACAGGGCCTAGTCCACATATATCTCTGAGTAGCCATTGAGTGGGAGCAGGTTATAGAGGGGCAACTGTGTTTGTTTTCATCTACAAAGTGTTGATTGAGCGGTCAGGTTTGGGGATACGGGTAAAGACAAAAGTAAGAGTGGGAGAAATTTAGTACCTAAAAGGAGTTGGAGCAGAGTAAGGAGGGCAAAGGGAGTGCATGACCTTGGAGTTTTATTTGTTGTCCAATTAGAGAAGAGATGTGGCATACAACTGGGCTATGCTGCTGGGAATTCACTGGTAGGTGCTGCTCTGACCCGAACTGATGAGAGCAATACATTACTTGATCAAATTCACTTATTGTTATACTCTAAGAAAACCATACAGCAGATTCTGGGATTGCAAAGGAGAATTTTGCTTATAATTTTGATCGAGCTAATTATTGAATAATTATTTCTTATTGGCTTATTTTTTTCCATGAGAGGGATATTTGTACCAGTCTTCCCTACCCCATTCCTCATACTGTAACAGATGTCCTTGCAAGTGCTAGGAAGTTGTTGCTGAATGAACAAGTGAAGTAATCTTTGACTCTCAATGTGTCTGTCCCACACTTTAATCTTACTCACTGACTCACTTGTTTTCTATCCAACGAGCACTGAATTTTGGAGCAATTTCTCTGTATCAAGCCTTCTGATAGGTTCTTGGCTACATGGGCAGTGAAGATCTTTTCCTTCACTCACAAGGCTCACTGACAAGTGATTGCCAGTCAACTTTGTCAGTGTTAAAGGAGAGAAACTAAAAGGTTTGTGGGAGCCATAGACTGTTAGAAGAATGAGTAGTACTCCAGGCACAGGGAAGAGGGCAGACAGAGACTCAGAGTCAAAATATTATGCAGCACTTGGAAAACATTCAGTGTGGCTGAAGGAGAGTTAAGTGTAGAGGCTTTTTTTTCTTTTAGATCTGCTGCCAATCAGAACTTGTGGCCTTGAAGACAATATCTGCTGGGTTGGCTATCATCCCTGGCAAGTGAGGCAAGCAAACCCTCTGACTATGAGGCCTACAGACTACAAAATCTCCTTAAAGAGCCCACAGAAACTCAATTCAATTGCCTCTCTCACATACACACATTGGTGTGTGCATATTTGTGCAAGATAGAGAGACACAGAGAGGGAGATACACACACACTCACACACAGAGAGAAAGCGAGAGAGAGAGAGAGAGAGAGAGA